CCCTTTGTACGAACAAAAGTAAGAGAAATTTAGGATAAAAATACGAACATGTTCTTGCATGAGGCCCAATGATCTTAAACATACTGTGAAAACAACCAGAGTTTTGTAAAGCAAAGAAACTGGAGTGGTTTGCAATGACCAAATCAATCCCCTGACCTGAATCCAATTGAGTATTTCACTTACAGAAGACAAAACTGAAGGGAAAATGTCCCAAGAATAAGCAGGAAATGAAAACAGTGGCAGCAGAGGCCTGGTAGAGCATCACCAGGGATGAAACCCAGCGTCTGCTGGTGTCTCTGTATTCCAGACTTCAGGCTGGAATTGACTGCAAAGGATTTACAAATATTAAAAGGTGAAAGTTTGATTTATGATTGTTAATTTGTCCCATTACTTTTGGTCCCTTAAAAAGTGGGAGGCACGTCTACAAACTGTTTTATTTCCTTCACCTTATTTGAACCTAAATGCCTTCAGGTTAAAGMTGAACACCTGCAGTTAAACCACATCTTGTTTGTTTCATTTCAAGTCCATCGTGGTGTTTCTTGCCAAAAATATCAGATCAATGTCCCAATATTTATGGGCCTGACTGGATCTCATGATGCTCTTAGTTATAATATTCCAACTTTGAATTTGAGATACTTTTCAGTTCATAATAAAACGAAGCAAAAACCCCACCTAACAAAACACTTGTGAAGATATTTGCATTTATTTTCTGCTCTGACTTTGTTCTTTCATCAGAGAATTAGGAGAGTTTCAGGGAAGAAAAGCTGCAGCTGAAACAAAACGGTGAAACAAAAGTTGATGAGGAAGCCAGTCGAGGGGAGGGGGCGTGAAGCACACACACTGGTCGATCCCCCTCGTCCCCCCACCAACCAGCCTTGTTTATCTCACCCAGCAGGCTGCAGCCGCTCTATACTGCATGCATGATTAGACGGCTCAAACTGCTGATTCGCATAATGTTCACAAATTCATTTTATGAAGTGTTCAACAGTAAAAAACTTGTTTGCTGAGTTCACTGGTTTTATTATTGATGAAGTCGAGGACAGATGAAATAGAGYTTTTCTTCCTCATGATTGCTTCACGTTCAGAAATGGCTGGGAGTTTAGATATTTATGGACTCAGTAACTGTTGACATCATGAGTTTAGTCCGGTGCTGCAATTTTTAGATTCAGTTTTTGCCAGAGCTTCATTTATAACTAAATAAGCTGTACAGATATACTTTTTTATTGCTAATTAATCATCAGGACTTAAGCTCCAATTAAGAATTACATATACAGTATGTACACCCACATACAGTGAGAGGGAGGGAGAGAGACACAATATTTCTGTTCTATACAAGAAAATGTAGAAACTCATTGTGGTAGTACATTTGAAAATAATTGGTCGGACTTTACTCCCATGTATAATACGACACGACCCCCCCCCCCCCCCCCCC